CCTCATTTTAAGTGGATGATTTTGCTTTTAAGAGGAATTAGAATGATGCTGGAGCAGTTGCTGGAAAACAGAGAATGCCAGCTCTGTGTATTATTCCTATTTGAATGCCTAGACTTTAAGATTTACTCCTGTTTTACTATTTACAGCACAATACTAATACCTAAACTGCCCAAGAGGCTGAGCAACTCTGATAGTGGAGACTCTTCATGTGTTCTGTAATATTTCTATTCCTGTGGTTTAAACTGAGATCATTTGTTTAAAGGTCAGTGAGCTTATCCTTTTCCCAGGCTGATTTGTTCCTTTCCACTGCAACCAGCTCTGTGTCTGAAGGGCCATGCAAGGAAAAACCTTTTGGAACACACATTTTGCAGCCCCTTTCAATATAAAGATTTGACAAGGGTTTGGTTCTGGTGCTTTGAAAGGAGACAAGTAAAAAAGATAACTTCCAGTTCTTTCAATGCAAGTGTAGAGATTTTTTGTTTTAATGGTTTTTAACCTTTAAGCATGAATGATTTTTTAATCTTGTTAGAGGAATGAGAGATGCCTGCTTTGCGTTCAGTCTGCTTCACCCAGTTATTTATCTTCTGCTGAAGTTCAGTGTTGAATTTCTGAGAACAAACATTCACATTGCAACATTCTGTTCTCACCAAGTGCCAGGTGAATTGCTGGGGTCATTTGTGCACACCCAGTATTCAGCTGTCAGGTAAATGCACTTGCTTGGATAGAAAGGGCATAAAAACGGGGAAAAGGAAGTATTTCCTCAGGTGTGCAAATTCTTTTTTATTTTCTCATGTGAACACGTAGTTTGCTTCCTTAGAATTGCAGTGTGAGTTAAACCTTGGAAGGTGACTTTGATTTACAGTGAAGGAAAGGGTAGGAATATAAGTATGTGACCCCCTCAGTGCTGTTTAGTGCCTCCTATCACTTCACCCCAAGTCCCCACCCACGTACAAGTTCAAGGTACTCTAGTCTGTAGAGCTCACTTAATTCAGTACAAGTCAATAACTTTCCAAAATTGCAGTCTAGCATCCCTGAAGCTGCTCAGAGGCTCCAGCATGGTTGCACAGAAAGTTCAGGGGACAGCTACAGTCTGTGCTGAGTTCATTCCGTGGGTAGGGAACAGACCTCTCTCTTGATCAGGAGTCTGGTAATGGCCACCAAAATTAAACTGCTCTGGCTATTTGTGCCGTGGGAAGCTGAATCGTGGGTGGAGTTCACAGAGCAGTGCTCCTTTGTTGTGTCCTGTTCTCCAGGGTCCCTGGAGCTGAGTCCAGGGCCTGGCACTGCAGGTCGATGAGTACAAGTTCTGCAGTTCTCAAATTTGGCTCAGGTGATTCACACACATTGATGATGGGGCTCTGAGCCACCTGATTTAATTGCAGGAAGAGGTGAGCTATCAAGGTCCCTTCCAACCCAAACCATTCTATGGTTCTATAAGCCATGGAAGGATCATCCTTCTTTGATGATGCAAAATTAGAAACTTGCTGAACATTGCTTGTACAATCTCTTGGTGCACAGCCAGGACAGATGATCCCCCAGTGCTGCACTCTCTGCTCCCACCATATCCCAACCTGCAAAAGCCTGGTGGGAGCAAAAAGCCCAGCTACATTCTGAACTATCAAGTAACCAAACAAGGAGTTGTTAAATCAGCTCTTTGGGCTGACATGGGATCAAAGCAGAGTTCATGTACTGATCTGATGCCCCAGACTGTTCTATTAACGTTTCAGGAATAAATACCTCAGAGTTTGTGTTGGTAGTTTTGGAGCAGATGAAGCAAACCGGTGGTTCAGCACTCTTTTTTATATCATCAGCAAGTTGATTTAAATTGAGTATACAGAGTTGGCTGCATTCCCCTCATGAGTTGCATAAAAAGTTTGCTAAATTGAAGTGCCAGAGCTGTAAAATCCTGCTGAAGAGACTGTTTCCAAAGATCAGTGAGAGGAACAGTTAAACTGTTATCATGGCAGTGCTTGTGTGACTTTTGTCCTCTTGGCTTTATTTTAGTGACAGTAGTAAGGAGTTCTGCCTTACAGAAGGGAAAAAGCATTAAGACTCAGGAACATAAACCACATCCCCTTTGGAAGGATAAGTTCTCTACCTCATAGACAAAATACAATCAGCGTGCAGAACAAATGGCAGGTGTACAATATTTAAAAAAACCTTGGCATGGAGTGCAACTTCCATCCTTTATTCTGTCAGCTTTGGTTTGTTATAAACAACCTGTAGTATCAGTGGCCGCAGTTTTGGTGGAACTTGCTGTGATGTAAACATTTGGTGATTTAGCACTTCAGAGGCTTGGAATCAGAGCTCCTTTGCTCTGAATTTTGGGACACTCTTACTTTTACACAGTCTGTCAGCCATGGAGCTCATTGTGCTACATTCCCATGTCTCCTTGGCTTCAGGATTACCAAGAGCATAAAAGAAAAGACGACTCTGGGAATGTAGAGCCTTAATTATTGTTGCTTAGTGCCCCTGTGAGTTTCCCTCAGAACTTTTTATCAACCAGCTAATGCCTTTAAAAGCAGGTCTGGAAATCCACCTTCTTTCCTTGGCAGAATGTATTCATTCCCCGCTACACCCATAACCATGGCTTTTCTGCCTCCCACAGCATCCTCTCCCTTTGTTCACCACCTCTTGCTACTTGCTGTGCTGCTCCAGCCTTTCATGCTGCTCCTCCCTTCACCCAGGCTCCACTTCTGCCTGACCTCAGCTCTGAACTGTGCGGAGCTGGAGCTGTTGTGCCAGCGGAGACGCCACGCGCAAGGCTCCAGCGAGAGAGGTGCCCTCTCCCAGCACTCCTGGCCTCAGGCTTTGCTTGGCTTCACTTCAAAGGCACAGTGTCAAGAGCTTGGGAATGTCAGAACACAGGGAAGGGTTGCAGGAGGTGCCCTCAGTCCCAGGGAATGGGGTGAATTTGCTGCTTGGGCAGCCTCAGTAATGCAACACTCCAGGAGTTTTCAGCCACGCTGCTGGAAACCGGAGGTGGCAGGTTAGGGAGAAGCATGGTGTCACAGATGATAGCTCAGGTACTCCACGGTCCAGAGCTGACTGGGCAAGCCATTGCCCTTTGCTGTGTTGTTTCTGTCTCCACTGGAATCCGCTGTGTCAGATTTTCCCTGGCTGTTTGCTGCAAGGAACTTCATCCAGTTTCTCTGTGCCACAGGAACAAGCTCTGAGGCTGACCTGCCGTTCCCTCCTTTTATTGCGTTTAGTCACTGTGGTCTTGGAGCGCCTCCTTTGTTGCTCAACTCTCTTAACCCGGATTATTTTTGAAACAAGACATGCCTATAAAAATGAGGTACTGGGTTCTCATTCTCCATGGCATGTAGAGTCTGATTCATTCCCATCAAAGCAGAAGACTTCTGGAGCACTGAAATCTCACATACTGATTATTGTGATTCTCTAAAAGAATGTCTGTGAATGTTTCTATATATACAAAAGTATATATTCCTCTGGTACAAATCATGTGAAAATTTCGCAGCTGAAGTTGTTGCTGGTCAAAATTAGATTTGCAGACAGATTTTACAAACTAAAACAAATTCCCCTTTGATTTTCATTAAATCCTGATGCTACACATCCCACATGCCAGCAGAGAGACAGGGCTGCTAGGCTCTGCCACAGCCATGCTAAGAAATGTGAATTTTCTACAGACCGACTGGGCAAGAGTAGATTTGCTGATTTTAAGCCCACATTTGAGCCTTTCACTCCCTGCTGAGTCTCAGATGTTGTAAGTAACTGCAATGTGTTTTTCAAGCCCAGGGGTCTGTGTTTTTCAGGGTTAACCAGGCACATACAGCTTCTCTGCAACTGAGTGGAAGAGTGCAAAATTCCAATTACTGTTGAAAATATTAACACTTGGGGCAATTACCTACTTTGCAGGTATATGAATACTACATATTGAATCTCATGTTGTATTTATTAACTGCTTTGAGACATAGCTCATATTTTACTTGAGAAAATTGCTATTTTATTTTTGAGCAATGGTGTTTTGAGTAATGGATGTTCTGCTCTTTTGCCTTTAGACTGTTACAGTGCTGTCCTTAAAGATTCATTTCAGCATTGCTAAACCAAATCACTTGAGAAATTGTGATTCAAAGAATCACAAGTCTTCCAAGAATATTTTAGAAATTATCAGCTAATCATAAATAATAATCCATCTCACATCACATTAATTTATCTTATGGGTGTAAAGTTAAATAGGTTTCAGAGTGTTCTTCTCTCCACAAGTCCACTAAGAACTTATATTTATGTGAAAATTTAGGTTCTTAGAAAATCACAGTTTCTCTGGAACTGTCACTGCACAGGAAACAATATTGAAGGGATAGTGATGAGCTCAGAAGTGCTGGCAATTAACCACATCTGCTTAATGGAGTCAGATTTCTAAGTGATACAGAATGACTGAGACCTGCTACCACCCTCCTGCCTGTGTGCTTTGCATGACATATTTGACAGGCTGATGGCAACAACTGCAGGCAGCCACCTTAAATTAACTTGTACAAACTGATACACCCAGTAAAGAGATCAGCCACTCCATCTCCAGCCTCTCACTCCTGACCTGCAAGGAAGGTCTCCAGAACTGCTTCAAAAGACAATCCAAGTACTAAAACTCCTGACTCCAGGATAGAAAATCACATAGATATTGACTGCATATTACATTACGGTTTTTGCCACCACCAGACATTCCTAGGCAATAATTATTCCTATCTCTCTTACTCTCTCTTTGTGCCATAAATTACATCAGCAGCTGTCCTCTGGCTAGCATCCTCCCTTTCATCAACAGGAACTAATCACTCTTTCTCCCAAACTGCCTGATTTATTAATATAATGAAGCTGAACACAGAACCACTATTCTCAGTCTGTATTTAGCTCTAAGGTTATTGCTTCTATTTCAGATCTGAAGCAGCCTGATGTGCCTGCAATCACATGAAGTTTTTCTGAGTGTGCCCGCTGACCTAATAAACAACGTCCCCTGTCCCTGCCCTTGTCTCACTTCCATCTTGCCCTGTCCTTGCTCTGACAGCTCTGCTGCACCTCTGGGCTCGTTCCTGCTGGGCTGAGCTGCCGAGGAGGCACAGCCTCAAGGAGTTGCTATGGGAGCTGCTCTGCTGGCCCAGCTCAAGGGGGAAGCGCAGGCATCGTGTGCTGGAGCTGCCCTGGCTGCACCACCCATCCCACCTGTGTCCCAGTGCCCCAGCAGGGCTGGTGGCAGGTAAGATAAGCTGCTGATGACCATGGAGAGCTGGGAGCAAGGCTGGCTGGATCATCATTTTGTTCTACAGCACTCATTAGGGGGTGATGAACTTTTGGAGGTCAGTAAAGTTCTCTTTCAATTTTCTTGGTGTCTCTATGGTTTTAGGTATTCAGTGTTTAGTGTCTCTGACCAGCCCAAAGTGAGGTACCAGAAGATCTGATTAAATTCAGCACCTGGATCTCATCTGGTATATAGCATCCTTTTTCCACTGTTCTTCTGTATAACCTCTCTCCTACCTTGTTTAGTCCTTTAAATTTCTAGGTTTCCCCCTCCTAATTTTTCTCTGTCTTCCTTCAAGGTTGCCCTTAAAACTTGCTTTTTTTCCCGAACCAAGCTGTTCTCCCTCACTGCTTGTCTGAGGTCTGTGCCTCACCATGTATAATTTGCAGTGTATTATCTGATGGAGACTGTAATCTAGGGCAGGGCTATGTCCTGCCCTGGACTCACAGTTGCCTGTTTTACTCTGTGAGGCTGAATAAGAAGGACAGAAATAGAAGAGTACACAGACACTCCCAAATAAACTGTGTTGTGTGATCTATGTTCCAGAAACAAATGCAGGAACAATTGTTACTAGTTAACGTGGTTCATGCCATACCACTGCGGCTTGGGAAGACGTAGATCCTTTAGGCAAAGAAACTTCCTTTACAAAACATTTGTGGAATGTATTTATCTGAAAATACAAGGGCTTATGCTAGAGAACAATGTTCCTCTGCTGATTTATAGTCAACTGTCAATGGCAACACAGAACTAAAACCTTTTAACCAGTCATGCTGTAGTAATGTCTTAACTTAATCCCTTTTCTTCTCTGCGACATCTTTCCAAGACTGATTTCCTTGGCCACTGCTGCTGCTTTTGGAAAAGTCCCACTCACTTGGCTCTGCCATTGTGGGAGGACCAGAAAAGGGGGATGGATGAGGAGCAGGATGACCCTACTCACATAGGTAAAGGTTGGGGGTGAAACCTCAGGCATGCAGGACAGACATCTGCCTTTAGAAAACTGAAACTTCCACTGAAACGTCCCTCTGCACATGTGCTGGGGGTAATGTGTGGCTAATAATGCATTTTAAAATGCTTTTTGGCCAGAGATCTCCAGTGAGTTGGACATTTTGCTGCCTGCACAAATGGGCTCTGCACATAAACATCTCCCTGGTGGAACTGGGGAACGAGCACTGTGTAAGTGGAGATGAGGATCAGCTGTGAGCCCAACTTGGTGATGCCTCCCTCCGAAAGCCAGAATGGTTAGAGAGATAAGATTTTGACTTTGCTTCTTTTCCAGAGAGATCTGGGGCTGTCTAGCCCAACCCTTTTGCTGGGGCATGGCTGCAAGGTGGCAAGTGGCCCACTGGGACAAAAGGCTCATTCTGGCTGTGGCCAGGTTCTCATGGTGCCCAGCTCCCAGTTGCTTTTAGGAAAGAGCAGTGTTAGAGTGCCCAGTTTGAGCCCTCCTGTGGGGCACTGTAATTTTAGATATTTTGGTCATTTGTCATGTATAATAATATATCTGTATTATTTGCAAGCTATTAGTCATCTGCTAGCCAGAATGGGTTTTTTTCCTTGAGGATGTTTAAGATCACATAACTCTTACAGGCAAAGGGGAAAACATCTGAAGATGTTGGGATTAGTCATATCACTGCTGCAGTTTTCTTCATCCAAAACCTTTTCTTTCATTCCCTGTTAGAGCTCCTGAACTTGAGGGCAGTATCTGATCTCCAGCCTTT